TTTACGATTTAAAACTGATTTAAATGCTAAATCAATAAATGTAGTGGCACCTTTCGAGCATTATGTGTCATCTTACAATAAAGATTACAAATTGAAATTTATCGAAGACCGATCTGAAACTTATCGAAAATCGTCAGTAGCAGCGAGACCAACGTTGAAGAATTTATGTGAGAAATTTATCAAAGATCCAGTACGACCATTAACCCATTCAACGACCAGCGGTTAGTCGTGAATCATTTTTGAACGTATCTGTCATTGATATTAGCCTAATATTTTTTTGTTTCTTTTTTCTTTCTTTCTTTTTTTTCTTTTTTTTTTTTTTTTTCTTTTTATATCGGTACGAAAAATATTATAGGGTCGACTTACGTAAGAAGAAAAATTCCATTCGAGTCATTGTCATTATCTCAGACCAGTCCTGCGGATGATGCAACTTGTCCAATAGTAAACACAGGCAAACATGAATTTCCTACAATTCCTACGAACGAACTTAGCTTTTATAAACATTTAGATCCATTGGTAAGCACCACTCATATGACACATATCAATTTTATATCAAATGAAAAAAGAAGTAATGTCGTTGAGAAAAATATTGAAAAACGTTCTAAATGTCATCATTTCCTTCCAAAAACTATTCCTACGAAAGGTCCTTTACACTTTCCACGTTGCACTAATAATCCTCCTTTGATTTATCGGAAAAAATTAAACGTAATACCTTATAAAGCATATACGACCACGTACAACGCGCATTATGATTATGTATTAACAAATTTAATACCTTGGCACACTGTCACAAAATTTCCAACTGTTTTCAAATTGTCCCGGAATGATGTTTATAAGACTCCTTCGATGTATCGTACCGAGCAATGTCACGTGGGCACTGGCTGGCCAATTAGAGCAGCCATAAATCTCGGACCAATTAAATTGAGTCCACGATAGACCGCGCATGCGTAGAATTTCACTAACAATTTTGATTATCGCGATATATGCTCTTAGAAAGATTGAAACTTTTATATATATATATATATATATATATATATATATATATATATATATATATATATATATATATAAAAGAAAAAAAAAATATATATATAAAAGAAAATATATATATATATATATATTTTCTTTTTTACAATATCGATAAGACAAAATAAATTTTTGTTTTAAATATTGCTGTTCGCCTTTCTTCAAATTATTTTCTTTTTATATGAAATTTTTATACGAATCTACAATGTATGGAATTGTTAATAAAAATTACACTAATCTGACATTGTCTTCGAATATTAATATCGAGTTTTCGAATTGTTGCGAATTAACCTTTCATATTTTTAAATTGATATATTGAAAGGCAAAAGATATTTTTATACATGAATATAGATTAATGAAAAAAAAAAAAAAAAAAAAGCAGAGAGAAATAAATAAATAAATAAATAAGAATGTGGATCGAATAAAGTTAATATTATCTCACAATCAAGTCTTTTTAAATGATTTTTTTTTTAAGTTAAATTTTTGGAGAGGAATTAATATTAATACGATAGATGAGGCACGTACGATATCGCAAATTTTAAGCAACAAAAATTAATTAATTGAAATGTCGGACAAGGATCAAAATTCGAACGATTCGAAAAATGAATTGGACGAACGAATAAACGTTGACGAAGCATTATGGGATCAGAATACTTATATCGGTAGATGGAAACAAATGGCTTTCATTAGCGACTTCCGAACTATTTTTGTGCCAAAAGAAAAATTATATCAAGCTAAAAAACTTTGTAATGATTATACGTAAGTATGAAAGACGAATAATGACAATGATCATTGATTTGATTTCTTATGAAATACATACATATATATATATATATATATATATATATATATATATTGTATACTTATAATATATTATATATTCTCTGAGATATATCTATTGCATAAAATGTATTATGAGATATAAAGCGAGCTAGATTCTAGGTTGGGAAATGAACCAGAAGATTTGAAAAAAGAAGATATCATTTATGCGAAGAAACTTTACGACAGTTCCTTCCATCCTGATAACAATGAATTGATGAATCTCATTGGTAGAATGTCATTTCAATTTCCTGGTAATGCCATTTTACTCATGGCAATGATGACGTTTTACAAGTAATAAACAAATATTAATTGTAAACATTTATTTCAAATGAGATTTAAGTTCTAATATATTTTGTCTTTAGATCTACGGTTGCTCTATTAGGGTTGCAAGTAATTAATCAGGCATTTACTACTATCGTCAATTATACAAATAGAAGTATAACAACCAATGAGTTAGATGAAACTAAAAATAATATCGTAGCAGAGGAAGCCTTTTTATGTAGCGCTGCGGCTAGCAGCATGGTTGTTTATGGATTAAAACAAATGTTTTATTGCAGAGGACCATTATTTGCAGTTAGTTTTAGGATTATCATTTATATTTTTCTTTTGCACGAAAGTCAATGGTATAATTATTTAAATATAGCGACTTATTCCATTGGGAGGATTGACCATTGGAAATATGATTAATTTTGCTGTCATACGACAAAAAGAGATTATAAATGGAATTCCTGTATGGGTCATTCATGAAGAACCTTTCATGAATTCAAAAGTTGCTGCCATTAAAGCAGCTTCTGAATGTTTTTTTACCAGAACATTAACTGTGGCTCCAACAATGATTATGATACCAATTGTGGCAGAATATATAAGGACAACTTGTTTCTATTATCGTCGTCCATGGGCCTTATTACCAATCAAACTGAGCTTATGTCTTGCTTCGTATGTTCTTTTTTTTGTTTTAGAATATTATATTTTATATATAGAATATGCATATGTTTAATTATATTATGCTACACAAATAGCTTGTTAGTGATGATTCCCTCGGCACTGGCATTATATCCAATGTGCAAGTAAGAATGATTTATTTATATTTCTGTAATTATTCATAACAATAAAATATATAATATTTTTTACTTTTGATACTTTTTATGATAATACAGTTGTATGAGACCAGATTTAATGAAGATATTTCCATCGGAATATAATGAATTTACAGAAAAGTTCAAAGAGGAAGTGCAGCCAGATAGAATTTATTATAAAAAAGGATTGTAATGTGATATTAAATAATGCATCAATATATTACTATTGATTATAATAAATTTTTTCAATGCGCGTAAAAAATTTGTAAAAACTGTATTTGTATATTTATAAGAATATAAAAGTTATGATATTACCATAAAATAATATCAATGTGTGATATCTATATTCTTTTTCTTTTTTTTCATTTTCATTGGTATTGGTCCTGGCATCTTGAATACTGTACTGTAAGAGAATCATAATTAGGAACAAAATTTCTTAGGTTATTATCGCATATCATTGCATAAATATACTTACTGGCACGTGGTACAAATTGGACTAAATTTACAGAAAACTGCACATACAAAATATTATTTAATATGTTATCATAAAATAATATGTACTATATAATTGAAATTTTTCTTACTTGATAAACAAACAGAGCATACATAACCAATGTCTACAAGTTCTTGATGACAAAAGCACGCAGCACGATAATCAACTTCTACCGGTGGTGGTAATACTAATTTTGATCTAACACTAGAATCTGGTAAAAAGACCCACTAAAAAAAAAAAAATAAAATAATTGTTCTATAATACTGTAGTATTTTGTATTATAAATTTTAACATTAATTAAAAATTAAAACATACTAATAAATACTGCAACAATCCATTCAACTGTGGTACTTTCAAATAATTTCCTCCAGTTATATCACAGCCTTGTTGTAGCAATGTTAATTCTTGATCCAAGCTACATACATCCAGTATAACATTCTGAATAATCATAATAAGATGCAATTATTAATAATAATTTTTGTCAAATTATTATTAATATTTGTGGAAGTAAAGTATATACAAAATACAAACCATCTTTTGTGCAGTAAAAAATATATTCATATAATTCATATATTGCATAGTAGAGTCATTACTAGCGGTGATCACAAGTATTCTTGAATAAAATTTCTCATCTCCCTCTTTATCCTGAGATATTCTTGAAATATAACATAATGCCATGGAAAGTGCTCCAGAAATAAGACTTTCACCATTCAATGAAGCATCTAACGGTATTTGATTTACAAACAGTTGTATCTGTTGTCTGACAGTACGTTCTACCTCTGTAAATTTTTCATATTGTCCATCGATTTGACGTATATCATTGGTTTTCTCAGAAGGATATAAAAACGTTGCTCCATGTCCATGACAAGCCATTACTGCTAATTGATTGTTTGACGCTTGCATTAAGTGTGCATTGGCAAATACAATTGTTGAATCTAAACATTGTGTCAATATTTTTGTCTCTTCTTTAACAATTCTTTGTAATGGATTAACATCTAATACGACAATTAATAAATTCTTTTCTTTCTCTGTAAAATAAATGATCATTCGTTTATAACCTCTACGCGTAAACAATAATAAACAAAATTATCTAACCGTTCTATTCTCACCAATTTTTTCACTGGTTTTTTCACCGGACATATTTTGATACTATTATTTATTTATATTTAAAAATTATTTTTCAAAAACGTAATAATATTTCACGTATTTCTATCCATATCTTTTAACTTGATTTTAACGTACATAAATCGCCAAATCAGATTGGAGAATACTGAAGCATAATACCAAATATTTGATAACCTTAACCTTAAAAATATAAGATGAAGAAATATACTATGAAGAGAGAATTCGGAAGATAATTTTGTGGATAACTTTTATTTTTTAATAATTACTATATTACAATATCTAGAAAGGTTAGAATTATTAATATATTTAATAGACTATGGATACAGTGATACAATTTTACTTAATTAAAATATATGCTTAAATGAGATATTAATATTACAAAAAAGTTTATTTTTAAGCTATTATTATCATTATTAATACCATTATTAATGTTAAAATATTAATCGTTACAATCAATATTTTTTTTTTACATGAACAAGTCGGCCAGATATTCTTCAAATTCCTCTTCTCTTGATCGCTCCATTGATTCTACAGGTTTTTCTTTCCAAATATTAGATTTCGATTCTTCATCAACAGTATTGTCAATATTTTCAGGGGTTGACGGATTTTCATTTTCTTTAACTCTTGTATTATCAGATGTGTCATCAGATGTACTTGGTTTTTCAATATTGGATCCAGAATGGGATCCTAGACGTTTCAATGATTTTCTTCTTTTTACTTCACGCTTTTGCGATCGATAATTCAACTTTACTGAACATTCTGGGCACAAACCTTTTTACGCAAAATAAAATTATATTAAATTACACGACAATGGATTAATACATTATAAGATTATAATTACTTATAGTTTAATCGCTTTTAACTTACGCAGTTTTACTAAAGCATTCTTTTTTTCTCCATGCTCGACATAACCAAAATTAACTTCCCAAGAACGAAGATCCTCTTTTATAGCGCATTTTTTATTGCCACATTCAAATTGTCCTTTGCCTACAATTACTTCCTTCTCCGTTCTCCATCTTAGTGCAACCTTAATAAATTAAAGCCAAAGTGATAGGAGCACATTTTTTCTTTTTTTTTTTTTTGTTTTTGTTCTTACAATAAATAAGAAATACATTTTTATATATTTTTCTTATAATAAAAAGATAGTGTTTTTTTTTTTTTTTTTTTATATAATAAGATAAAGTATTAACAATAAAAATAACGCTTACCTTGTTGTATTTATAATAGATCAAGTCACAAATGCAATATTCCTTAAACAATTTATCATAGTATTTTTTGGCCAAACGAGCTTCCCATGTATTTGGTTGATCGTCATCCTCATCCCACAGAAATTTATGATTTTCTTTGATAACATCAAAATCTCTCTTATCTCGGGACCTCGAAACACAGGCCGAAACGTCAAGAGCTGCTCGTATTAAGGTTTATAAAGTTATGATCTCTTTTTTAATTTATAATTATATACCGATAATACTCCTAATTTTTTTCATAATTATATATCGAAATAATACTTAACGTGTATTATTAATAGGCATTATGTTTATACGAACAATTAATATCAAGGTGACATTTTTAAGAACATATACATACGTGTCTCGTTTTAAAGATGCTACAGTTTCTCCTTTTAATAATAGGTAATCATTTATAAGTTTTTTATGTCTGTCGTAAGCAGATAAATAAGCATAAGCTGGGAACATGTTTGTTAAAAAAATTGTGCATACACAGATACATATATATATATCTATATGCATATATATAAAAGCAACCTTGTCAATTTTACATCTTTTCAATTATTTCAATGATAATATATCACAACAACGAGAAAGAACTTTGTGTTACTATTATACCGATAACAACCATAGATAGTTAAGATCATACATTAAGTATATAATAGATATAACAACGAATATGAATTTTTTATTATGATGTCGCTTATAGAGAATTCCTTTTGATATCTAATGTTATCGATAAATTAACGACAATAGATATGAAAAAGAAGTGGATATTAGAGGAAAAATAATTTAAGATAATTCGAAAGTATTATTGACAGTATGTCGATAATGTAGAAAACTGTTGTTAATGAATAGAAAACTGTCGAATAATGTAGAATCTACATTATCATTGTACGATAATATTAGTTGACATAAGATCATACATTACATAGATTGATTCGATGATCATTGCTATCGTATGAACTTTTCTTTTTTCTTTTTTTTTTTTTTTTTTTTTTTGAGAATTTATCATAAAAAATGAAATATACAAAGCTCTTAATAATAAATGAGAACTAATAACTTGAATGACGTTGGTAGCGATGCTGGGCGTGATAAGTAGTCATCTCATATGACTGGTTTCATGTTACGTCTGGACTGACTCGATACTATACATCGGGTGACAATTATTAACGTTAAATACAATATATATATATATATTTGCCATAATTAATTGTTTATATATATATATATATATATATATTTGCCATAATTAATTTTATATTAGAATGAAATAATCTCTATCTACGATGAAAGATTTCACAAAGTCAATGTATCTCATTGTTTAAGAAAGTATACAAAAGATCGATATAAATCGATATAAATTATAGCGACGAGAAAATTAATTAATTTTTTTTTAGAAATAATTCATTAAGAACTTTAAGCGTCGATTAATGATAATTCGAAATCGAAGAAAATCATAAGTACAAAATGGATCACCCGTTGTATGATTCGATCGACGCACACCTTGATACCGATACACGTTTATGGCATGAAGATCTTCCTTGTGCTAGTAGCGAGTTCGATGCAACGTAAAGTAACAAAGTGTAAACCACCATTATTATTAGTCAGACGTGTAATAGGAAGCTGGATCTGGAGTTTGAGAAAATAGTGAAACACAATGAGCCTTGTTCGTTCGGGACGTAGATAAGAAACAATGAATGGTTTGATCGTTTTTTGCGATGACGTTAATATCGGTACCTTGAGGAAAAATTTAAAAGGAGAGAAAGAAAGTGAGAGAGACAGAGAGGCAGGGAGAAAGTGTGTGTGTGTGTGTGAGAGAGAGAGCGAGAGAGAGAGAGAGAGATGGATGAAGAAGAAAGTAGAAAATTAAAAAAAGAAAAGAAAAAAATATTCGAAATCAGTGTTCGTGTTAAAAAGAAAAAAAAAAAAAGAAAAATAAAAGAACAAAATTTGCTATTACGAAAAGGAAGAAATCGACTTTACGGATTTGACTTTAAAATGCACGTTCGGAAAATTTGCGCCTAATGCGAATTCCCCTTACCACCCTATCGTCCCTTTCCCCCGACTCCTACCTCTTCCCCTACCCCGACAACCAATCGTTTTCCTCGTATCTTCTCTCCAACTTCTTTATTTCCTTTTCTTTTTATCTTCGTTCGTTCAATATTCATATAATTCTAGGAAAACATGAAATAGAGACTTGATCGCGCAGAATGCAAAAATTCCGTATTAAATTTCACGAGAAATTGAAGAAAGTAAAGAATGTCTTGTCGGGGTTGAAGCAGCGAAATAATGCGAGAAGAGACACTCTGTTGCGCGATAGTCTGCGGGAGGAGGTGGCGATGGTGGATGGAAGAAACGAAAGAGGAAGAAGAAGAAGAAGAAGAAGAAGAAGAAGAAGAAGAAGAAGAAGAAGAAGAAGAAGAAGAAGCAGAAGAAGCAGAAGAAGCAGAAGAAGAAGAAGAAAAGGAGGAGGAGGAGGAGGAGGAGAATGAGGAGGTGGAGGTGGAGAAGGGGAGAGCGACATTCCAGAAGGCGGCGGCGGTGGCGGCGGCGGCGGTGGCGGCGGCGGTTGTTCTCGTGGGAAACCAAAGAGAGAGAGAGGAGAAGAGAAAAGAAGAAGAGAAAGAGAGAGAGAGAGAGAGAGAGAGAGAGAGAGAGAGAGAGAGAGAGAGAGATCTCGTCTCGAGAGGAGGAGAGGTTGCGGGCTTTAAGGCATCGTTCTCATCTCCCGACGTGCGACAAGAGCAGCGAGTTTTCTGTCTGTCTCTCTCACTCTCTCTCTCTCTCTCTCTCTCTCTCTCTCTCTAGATTTCTTTTTCACTCTTTTCTCGAGCGAGAGAGAGAGTGAGAGAGAGAGAGAGAGAGAGAGAGAGAGACTCGCCGAATTTATGAATTAGCGAGGGGTGTCGGCGTGCCGGCCATTCCGAAGGATTCAGGATATGCCCGAGAGGTTCTCGCGCAGGATGGAAACCTTATGATCGACGTCTTGAAAGAAAAATTTGAAATCATCGGACGCATGACGAATGAACGCAAATGAAATTGGAACGTTCGAACTTCTCCCCTTCCACCCCTCTCCCAATCACCGTTCGTTTTTATTAGGATCTATCGATTAACGATAAAATCGATTAAAATATATCCATTGTCGCAACAAAATTCTAATTAGTTATATAATATTTTTTGAAAACTCTTTCTTTGCAAATTCTCTATCTTTCTTTTTCCTCTGTCTGTCCCTCTTATTAAAGGATATTTTGTAGGTTTTTGTTAATTACGTAGATAATTTATAATTACGATTACAAGAATCCTTTTTTTCTTTTTGTTGTCAGCGCATACGGACGAACGAAGTTTGATTTTTTTTCTTCTCTTTTCTTTTCTTTCCTTTTCTCTTTTTCTTCGTTTTCTTCTTCTTCTTCTTGTTCTTCTTCTTCTTCTTCTTCTTCTTCTTATTATTATTATTTTTTTTTTATTTCTCTTCTATCTAATTTCAAACGTCTATGAAAGTCGATCGTGTTAATTACGACAGAAAATTTATAATGACGAGCCTCGAATTTATTACGAACGAAATCGTCGTACATAAGTTCTCAAACGCAAGCCGGTCCCGTCGACGGATAACGTCACGATGATGCATCGGATCGGACGTAACTGGACACCAGTGTATCGGTATCGATGACTTAGGATACGTTTATGTTAGAGCTCCGATAAACGATAACAGCTGTGGCGATGAGAGCGAAGCGTAGAAATACATTCTATTGTTTTATAATGTTAATTGTTCATATTGAAGCAACGATTAGAGAGAAAGAAAAAGAGACAGAGAGAGAGAGAGAGAGAGAGAGAGGCAGCTAAGTTTACTAAATGACAAATATTATTTTTTATTCTTTATTATCGTCGTTCTCATCATTGTAACATATATAACATCAATGGACATAGATAAATTAATAAGCGAAATATTTATTAGATTCTTCATCTTTATGGGATCAGAAAAATCCATATCACTGTAATAAATTTTTTTTTTCTTTTTTTTGATAAATTACGGTATGAATAATTACGATAAATAAAATACGGTATGAGTAAATAGTTATTGAATTAAATGTACGTTTTTTTTTTTTTCAGAATCGCACATGTTTATGATATCTTTAAACAATTGCAAGTATATTATCACAAATTTAAAAAAAGAAAAGAGACAAAAAAGAAATAAATCTTCGACAAGGTGAAGTAAAAATTAATTTTCTCATGACAAAATGAAATTAAGAATGAAGATTAACAAAATACATCAACAATGGCGTGAATATAAAATTAAATGATATATAATACAAAGGATTATTAAAAAAAAAAAAAAAAAAAAAAAAAAAAACAATTGTTACAAGATTAATAAACTTATATTGTATCTTTTTTAATTTTGCTTATTTAGAGAAAAGGGAATAAGAATAGGATTATAAGAATATCGAAAAATCGTGAAACGCGTGCGGATTCGAAGCGTCCTCGTTCCTTACGATATTCTTATCTGTCTCTCTCTCTCTCTCTCTCTCTCTCTTTCTGTTCTCTTCTTTCTTTCTTTCTTTTTCTTCGTCCCTTTAACTCGAGCCTCGAGGACGGCTCTCACGATGGTATACGGCGGCAATAAAGTGCCTCATTATTATTATTACCCTCGTAAGTCACGGCGAGCCTCTGGAAGCGCGTTGGTAATTACGCGATAATCGTGCGCCGACGTTGTCATCGACAATGACGTATATTCGTCCTTGCCTTACGCTTGTACATTTGTATGTATACATGTGTAATGCATATATATATATATATGTATATGTACATATACACATATGTATATATATATTTATATCATGTCCGATATCTTAATGTTTTCAAGTTGTTTGAAAAATATAATATATTGTTCTTTTGTTCTTCATTGTTTACATCGATGAACTTCAAATCAAACACTTTCGATAAAATTAGATTTTATTGTTATTTCGTACTCTTATTATCATTGAGATAATTTTAATCCTTGTTTTAACCTGGAAAGATATTCGATCGGTTAACGTGAATCCATGATATTAATTTCAATTGAAAATAAAATGGATTACGACGGGGAAAGGAAAATTTTGATAAATTTAACGAATCGTAAAATGAAATATTATGACGTATAATTTTCTTTTTCTTTTCTTCCTTTATTACTATTCTATTTATCTTCTTTCCCATTTTCTTTTGTTTAATTGCACGAACGAAATCTTCGTCGACGAATTGATTAGTTCCTTTCGATTAATCTTGATCAACGATCTAAATCGATATAATGTAAATAAATTCAAATTTATTAAATCGTACATGTCGTTATGACAAAAAAAAAAAAGAAAAGAAAAGAAAAGAAAAGGAAAAAGAAAAAAGAAGAAAGAGAAAAAAGAAAATAAGTATTACTTTTAATATTTATACTCACAATTATTATTTTACATACAATACATACGTTTATGTATTTATTATAAATTGTTTTTGGATGAGAATTAAAAAATTATATTCGACGAATGTGCACGTTCTAAGGAACACCCAGTATAAGGTGAAAGAGGGCTCGGAGAGGAAGAGAGTAGGTATGGCAAGACGAGAGAAGAAGAAGAAGAAGAAGAAGAAGAAGAAAGAGGAAGAAGAAGAAGAAGAAAGAGGAAGAAAGAAGAAGAAA